ATACAAGTGAGCCACCCGTTAAGGGTTACGAGAGATTTAAAATATCACAGTACATACAGCATAAATATATTAGTGTAAAAGGGGTATATAAAATATACTACTCGTCACTAGCCATGTAAAATATTTTTTCCTCTGTGTAGAGGATAAAAAAGAAGGTTTGGGCTGTAAAATCTACATAATATTAAAAAAGTAAAATAAGTTTATCAGTATTACGTTACTCTAGGAAGTTGGAATAGCTAAAACTGACCTTTGTAGAAACTTTCATGCAGATCGTCGTACACAGGGCAATCCAGCAATACATGACATTCATCCTCAATACTTTCCTCACACTGAAAACACGCTCTTACGTTCACGTTCACATTAATATTCATATTCGTATTTGTATCTGCCTTTTTCTAACGTTTGAGGAGCAGTACCTGATTTACATTTGGAGAAGGCAGAGCCGTAAGAACGAGGCATACATACTTACATAACTCTCACACCCATACAACATTTCACAAGTACTTAATTTATTACCAGCCATTCTCCCTCCAAGCTTGCATAACAGTTCATTCCAATCAGACACATACTTTCCAATGCAGACATCATGCACACGTACAACGACACTTTTCACGCTTACATTCTCAGAAATATTCACACCCCATTCGTTCATGACTTTGCCCTTACTTGAAATTTCCTGTTGTTTTTTTAATCTAAAGGACATTTTAGTTTAGTAAAACGACATAAATGTCTAACAAAATTGGAGGAATCCATCCCATATCATCATTAACAGCAACATTTTGAGCGTATTTTACCACCCTAAGAAAAATGTCAAAGCACGATGGTGAACGGCATTTACAGAACAAATATCACGATGACCCAAAATAGATGCCCCATAACTCAAAACTGGCCAAATCATGTTATCATACAATTTGGAATAAGTAGTGGTTGCATACCTCCGATTGCCTTATATTTACATATAAGAAGACCTCATGCTCTGTTAGCCGATTTAGCTGCTGCTGCTGCTGCTGCTTCTGCTTCTTTTGCCATAGCGTTGTATAGTCAACATGTTCCATGAGCAGTAGGCCTAGATAATTATAACAATCAACAATGTCTAAAACATAGTTACCGATATTTAAAAGGCCATTGTTTTGGTAACGCTTCTATTTCTAAAGTGTACCATAATTGATTTGTCATTATTAAAAAAGATACTATTGTCTACACACCAAGTATTCAAAACGTAATATACTATGATAATAATCTATGTAAGAAATTCAAATCCTCTGCCGATTCTGCAAGCAAAATAAGATCGTCAGCATAGGCTAAGGCTGCAATAGCGATATCATCCAAACAAATACCCAAACCAGTATCATTTAGCTTGTCCAGGAAATCAATAATAAAATCGTTTTGGCGACATTAAGCATCCTTGTTTTAAACTACGATTAACATTGAACCAGGGTGTAAGCATACCAATTATACTACACTGCATGTGACATTTTCATATAAAAATTGAAGTGTAAGAAACAATTTTACATCATTTCTCCCACAGCACACCTCTGTTAATGCTATCATACGCTTTATGAAAGCAGAAAAAGAGTGTTTTTAATACCTTGTCTTGTTTCAGTAAAAGAACAAACAGAGTGAATATGATCCGTATGGTTGATCTACGCTTCCAGAATCCATTTTGTGCATCATTTAGAGCTCCTGCACTTTCAGGCCAACATTGCAGACGGTTATTTAAAATTTTACAATATCATTCGTACTTTGAATTGGTGAGTCAAACCCCTAGACGATACGGATCTCAAGGATCTAAAGTAGAACACTTTGGTATGCAGGTATTTTCCCTGTGTTAAAACGGACATTAAAAGTAATGTGCATAGCCGAAATAACATTTTGTGATTGAAGACATTCCATTGGGATACCGTCAACACCAGGAGCCTTGCCACAGTGACTTGTATCAACCGCCCCAGTTACTTCAAAGAGAGTAATTTTAGAGTCGAGCAACACATGTGTCACCAGGCTCTCACAGGGATCTGTTTTCGTCTCTCCCCACCTACCCCAATCCTCTTCCAGACTATTATTATCCTCCCACATTTCATCCAACCGTTAACTAGCATACATTCGTTTGACATGTCTACCGTGAATATTCTGAATTGATGCATTGATGCTTGGGCATGCTAACAACCTCACCTGGCATTGTACCACCAACAGATTGCAACGAAACAAACGAGCCACAATTTGTATATTCCCACGCATTGCCGCAGCATTAACTCTACCAAACTGATAAGGTATATGACTCTGAAAATTGCTCTACATTTATTAGTTCTGGTTGTAGGGTAGTCGGTAACGTGTCGTGCTTAAAACATGAAGTTCATGGGTTCCAGTCTGCCAGGTTCCTTTTTTTCAGGGTACTTTTATAGAAATATACATACACAGCTGAATGAATCGTCTACCTTGTCGTAAAATAAGTCACGAATAGTGTTCTTGGAAAACATAAGTAACGGAAATGATTTGTTTGCTGCCCCTCAAACCTAGGATCGGGCTTGAAGCCGCACTATGAAGCTTGTTTTCTGTGAACGGCTATTTTTCAGATATTTTTCTGCTGCTTCACTCAGTTTAGTCACATCAACAAGCCTTCTCACGTCAAGCACAGGCCGACACGGCTGTTTTTTAAATTTCACCCAGTTCAGTGAATCAACAACCTCTTAAGACAAGTTGGTTGGTTGGTTGGTTGGTTGGTTGGTTGGTTGGCGGATGTGTTGTTTAACGCCGCACTCAGCAATACTCCAGCTATATGACGGCGATCTGGACCAGACAATGCAGTCATTGACATCATGAGCATCGATCCAAGCAATTGACATCGATGACATGCATCAACCAAGTCAGTCAGCGAGCCTGACCACCCCATCCCGTTAGTCGCCTTTTACGACAAGCATTGTCGCCTTTTAAGGCAAGCATGGGCTCCTGAAGACCTATTCTACCCCGGATCTTCACGTTGTAAGCTCCGTCAATTACAACAACGGCTGTTTAAAGACCCATTAATAACCAATTATAGATATAAATATCCTCAGGAGAGATAATAGCCATAGCTGTTATACCATTATTGTATGGGGGCGGGGGAGTAGGGAGGATGCAAAAATGTTACATAAAATGTGTGTGTGGGGAGAGGGGGAGGGGAGGGGAGGGGAGGGGAGGGGAGGGGAGGGGGAGTGTATTGATGTTCCGGGCCAATACACATGACTTTCCCAGCTGACAATGATCTGTTAATGAATGAAACTTTAGTAGCTATGATACCATGTATATTATGTCCAACAAAGTGCAACATTATCCTGAGCAAAACGGCCATTCAGCCTCTCTACCCCACACTGTATGAGTTTTAGTCACCGCCTTTATTAAAACAAGTTCACCATGTAGAATGACTGCACAACAAAGTGTTTCAAAGCTGTCTTTCATCACTAACGCACTATTTCATTGTCATATAGGGCTTGCTTTTGCTTCACATCCACCAGACTAACGCTCATTTGAAGCACAGCTCATACAAACTTACAATTTCCACCATTAGATCACAAACTTCGCAGTAAACAAATAAAACAATTATGTTTATTTGTCAATTAAAAGCAATTATTAATTTATAGTTCAAAAAGTGCGCTGAGGAATGGTGATATCTATATAAATAAAGCATACAATATTCCACAAATATTATTCATACCCAACAAAGAGTGTCGCTCTTTCTGTTTTCGAATTGATCAATAGTATCTGTTTTTTGTGGTTTAGGCATCTTTTGCGTATTTACAAAACTTGAAACATCATGCAACGTGCAACGTACGTATGGTATTCAGTTTTAGGCCCCCAGGAAGAAAACCTGCACTGGTGGTTAACCGGACATGTTGCGAGCTTATCACCTCCAAATAAATTAGCCCACTGTCAGACAAACGATCCTGTACGCGCATAGGCTAGAATGTATTATTTCACAGCTAATGTGGCAAGCAGTCATCTTATTCATATCGCGCTATATCCGAACGTTTATTAATAGAAAGGGTGTTTTCCAGACAGTTCACACCCGTCTGCAAATCCACTTTGGGCTGCTTTGGGGTCTTTTCGGAAGTTCTTATGTCTCCAGTTCCAGTTCGCGGTCTCTTGGCACTGCTCGATTTGGCCCAGGGGCACCCCCAGTGGGTGCAAACGCCCTTTTTGGAAAGAACTCTTTTTTAAAGAACTTCTTAACAGTTACATGAACCCCCAAACTCAACTCTCACCCCTCAACCCTGGCCAATCGAATCGCTCCCTTTTCACGGGCCGATTAATCGCTTTTCTCCCTTTCCCTTCTTTTGCCTCCGTTATCCAGGCCCCGCATTTAACCCGCTTTCATCGCTTTTCTCCCTTTCCGTTCTTTTGGCTCGATTACCCGCCCCGCTTTTACCCCGCTTCTGCACCCCTTTTAACCCGCTTTTGCTCGCTTTCATCCAGATTTCAGGCTTTGCTTTCAAACGTTAGGAACAAATATTGTCTTACATTTCATAAACAAAATTCACAAATTTTCACTACAATTTCGAAATTTTGAAATTTTGAATCAAACAAAATTTTCAAGTGTTCATTTTACCCATAGTTACGGCTTCGCTTTCAAACACAATATTGTGAAGTAATTTCTCTTCTCTTGTATTTCATTTCATCACATTTTTAAAGAAAATTTCACAACAATTTTTTTTTTTTAATATAGAATTATAAAGTGTTCATTTTACTTCCTTCACTATGTGGCATAATTTGTTTCTTGTTTTCTGGCGATTTCCTCTTGTCCTTCAATGCACTTTTAACTCTCTTTCAAATTTCCACCTTGTCTGCAGGTTTCATACAGTTGTATACACTTTTCTGTTTCCTGTAAAACAAATGATTGCATAATAGTATACTTCATTTTTTCAATATAGGAAATAGCTTTTATTCATCGTACATGTAGTTCCATTTTTTCTACTTCTTTCTACTTTTCACACAAATCCACCACGTGACTACACCGGCTACACCGACAGCGCCGAACGCCAAAAAGCGCAGTTTGAACAGCCGGCACCAAGCCACACGGAAAAGCAACCGGTCAAAGCACCGAGAGCATCTGGGCATTGCACCCACCACCAAAAAACGCAGTTTAGACAGCCGGCACCAAGCCACCCGGAAGGAAACAGCAAAGCACCAATCACAAGCGAGATCACTAATGCCAAAGGCCGTCATTTCCTCCCTCCATCAGCTGGCCATGGCGGAGCACGGAGCTGAATGTCGCTGGCTGGCATCGCCACACCCAAGCGTGCTCGCTCGGTCTCGTCGCATCTCCATGCATCTGAAGGTAAGTTCATTCATATATTTCACTCCACATCTTTTGTTTATCGCAAAGAGCGGCCATTCTGTCAACGAGGGACGAAGCACGTTCCAAACCATTTCCTCCCTTGGCTATTTGCAAGTTCTTAATTTTCTTCACAGAAATTGTCACCCCTCTTTGCCGCTCTCTGGTGCACATTGCAAGTGTTTTCGTGGCGAAGAAGCAGGCAGCGTGCTTCCTGTATTCTTGTAAGTATGTTTGTAGGACAAATGCTTAACCTCACACACTGACCACGCCCTATAACAGTAACTGTACCGTATTTCATCCCACAGAAGAACTGCTCTATGTTATCATTAATCAACATGCACCATTTACCACACCCTTTAGTGTAAACAAATAAAGTATTCAACTACCGTATTTCCCACAAAATCACGTCCTTTATCATGAGTATTTGTTGTATATAGTACTTTTTCTTCTGTTGAAAATGTTTTTGTTCAAGGACCCACCCCACATTCAAACTAATACTGGTCTCTCATTGCTGGAAATCTTGCTGACAGTAATTCTTTAAGCATGTATCACTTGTCTCAGCAATGGGCAAAGGGGAGCATCTGTCATTCTTCCAGGTTCAAGCAACTTAGCGTCATCTCATGACCAAATGCGTTTACCTCATCGACTGATGCAGCTTTGTCAGCCATGTTTTTATGAATACAAATATACTGACCCAAATCCCTTCACTGTTTTCTGGTTTGTATTACAATTTATAATATAAGTAATGACGTAGGTAAGATAACATAGACTTTCCCCAATATCACGTACACGCTTTGGGCGTAGTACCAGATCTAGTAGACATTGAAGCTTGTAGAATCAGAATATAAACTACCTCCCTGGTTGTTGAACACATGGTGTCAGTTATCCCCTCTATATCATCAGGTACATCAATTCAACTTCCCATAGTCTTTGTAATGAAATCTGTCCCAGGGGTATGGGAGACAACTCTGATTGTCTTGTTTAAATAGTGATTTGCAGGGCGCTTCAATTGAACAGTAAAGTTATAATGTAATGCTTTTCACTCAAAATCCATTTATTATAATTCATGTGTAATTTCTTGTTATCCATAATTGATCATAGTACATTTTGGAGTATTATTCTGTAGTATATTTCCATGTAAAACACTTGATATTTCAAGTAGAGTTTCTGTTAAACTCATTTCCCAGTACATGCTGCTTGAAGTATAGTTACTATTCTTGTACTGTAAATAATGGATAATGTTTTTTATTGATAGGTTTTATGGTTCCCATGTTAATTGAAACTTAATAGTGATCCTGTTAGCCATTCCGTTGAGCAATAACTATTGTAGAAGGGGGTCATGTCATTTAGACCAGTGTTGACATAAATAACAGAGAGCACTAAGTAGGTACAAAGACACTTTATTGTAACTATGCCTATAATAGTCGATGAGTTTGTACGTTGTATCTGTTGCGCCATGCCAAGTTACAAACTTGATGACAATACAAGTTTTGTCAGGCATGTTCTTACGTATACAGAGATACTGACCCAGATTCCTTCGCTGTTTTCAGTCAATCTGAGTGATTGTGAGCTGGGTAACATATGCATCCATTATGCTCCATTCATTGATCAAGTTGTTTGTCTTTACTCCATTGCTGCTGTACAGGCCTGCCGCATCGATGTCACATGACCTAGTCCCTCTCCCCGCTGGCTCCCTCCTCCTCCCAATCCTGTCATGTTCATTGTATCGTCGATTATTACCTTTAACATCTGCTTTTTCTTCTTCTAAAAACCTAATGTAAAAGTCAATAATATTGTTGACATTAGTGTCTTTGTGTTACCACTTGAGTGTAACCATGGTAACGGTTCTGTAATTATTCCAGTATCATGAACCATGAAAAGTGACATCTTTATTGAAACCTTTATGTCTAAATTTCCAAGAAATTGATGTTTTTGTTGGTCACCAAGGTGTCAGAGCATTAAGAGTGGTGGAGTAATTATGTTTTAACTTGTTTTGGCTGTGAATCACTTGTTCTCATTGTGTTGGACATTGTTGCAGACCCAAGATGTCTGTGCGGCGCTGACACAATCTCCTGACACAACTTACCTGACACAACTTACCACAGCCCTGATATTTTCTTCTTTATGGAAGATTGTGAAAGGTAGGCAATTATATACTTTGGTCTCTTTGTACTCCATAATATTTTTTATGTGGTATACTGTACTTGCGGTATTAAGCACCCCACTCTATTAATAGCAAGGATTTATCTGGAATTCCAAAACCCTTCCGTTTGTTCCCTCGGCCGTCAAATTGGGAAAGAAATTGTGTTATTGTTCCAAATTTGGGAGCTTCAAATTGGAAAGTTGTAGAGGCTTTTGTTGCAGACTCTTGGTCAAATATTGATTTACGTGACAGGTCCTTTTTTGTGTGTGTATGTTACAGCAATGGTGAAAGAATAACTGTTATTGTCAACAATGCAGTTTACTGGGCCAGGCTCAATTAGCGCTAACTGGCTAAGGCTGCTGATAGTGGCACCCACTTCATAGGTTTTGTGTTCCTCTTCAGTCATTAGGACAAGTTGTGGTTGTGTTTGTGTTAGGGTAGGTTACCTGCAACTCTTTCTGATCAAGCACCCCTTTACAATCATTGGTTAGCCACCCCTTTACAATCATTAGGGTTAGGTACCCCTTTACAATCATTAGGGTTAGGTACCCCTTTACGATCATTAGGGTCAGGTACCCCTTTACAATCATTAGGGTTAGGGACCCAGTTTCCATCAAGCACCCCTATACAATCCTTAGGGTTAGCTGTGTGGTAGGACATGGGTTAGCTATCTCTTTTAAGTGATCCAAAGTAATTTTTGGAAAATACATTCCATGTTTATCAAGCTTCGAGGACCGCTACGTCTCTGACAACAAATGTAACTTGTGGTTGGTTTCAATAAGCGCCACACTTTGTCAATTTGCCAAGCTCCCGGGGTGCTTACTACAGCTAACATTTAGTTCTATGTTTATGTTTTTGTTTCAATTGTCTTGCAACCATGGCAACATATGATACGAAGTGTTCCAGAGAATCTCTTCATTTTCAGGAGAAATCTAGAGTTTTTCCATTGTTTAGTAGACTTGCTTGGGAGCTTTCGGTTATTTCTTCTTCAGTGTCTGTAGGAGAGACAAGTGCACTTGTTCCTGACAAAGTATGACACCAACATCTGAAGTGTTTCAGCCGTGCATGTCCCTTTACCTTGTCTATATACCATGTCCATAACCCCTGTCCATAACCAATGTCCGTATACCATGTCCATATACCATGCCCATAACCCATGTCTATGCACCATGTCCGTATACCATGTCCATATTCCTTGTCCCTATACCATGTCCCAGACTTGTTTATTTACTGCCGTGGTGATGCTGGAATATTGCTGGCTTCATTGTTCAACTTTCATTCACTCACACATGTGCTTATAAGACTGGGAGAGAGCAAGGTCGGTGCTTCAATCCCCTGGTGGGACGGTAAAGGATGGTGCTTGTTGTTTCCTTGTCTGGCACTCGGCATTAAGTCTAGACTAGTACAAGCAGCCACACACATACATGTGCATGCACGTCGCTATATAGGTGCAATAATCTTGGACGCGACGTTAAACCCCATTTCACCTCATCTCACCTCAATGGGAGAACTCCCAACTTGAACTAATTGTGTCACCAACATGTGAGAGTATTTCAGCACTACATGTCTATCAGCCTGTATGCCGTGATATAACTGGAAGTGTGTTCAAAGCAGCATTAACCCTCACTCAATCACTCATCTCATACTCATCCCATTCTCAGCTGTATCAGCCTGTATGCAGTGATATAACTGGTAGTGTGTTCAAAGCAGCATTAATCCTCACTCAATCACTCATCTCATACTCATCCCATTCTCAGCTCTATCAGCCTGTATGCCGTGATATAACTGGAATACTGTACAAAGCAGCATTAACCCTCTCACTCACTCACTCACTCACTCACTCACTCACTCACTCACTCACTCACTCAATCATCTGATGCTTATCCCATTCTTGAATCTAGCCTGGAATTAACATGCTTGGGTGGTTTCTTGTGGAATAATGTTTATTCAACCGTATGCATAACTTTATTAAAGAGGCTATATGTAAATCTGAAAATGAATGCCTGGTTTGGCCTGATTTTGTTTCTAAGTGTGTCACCGCCATACCCATGCTCATGGAATTTGCCTAAGTGGTAAACGTCTAAGACCTACATCACATCGTTGAACTCAACTGTACTCCTTCAGGATATGGGATAAACAGCATGAATGTAATTTCAATAACATTTGACAGAAATATGATGTCAGCAATTAGTCCCACATTTACCTTCACGTCTTATGTTTTCTGTAAAAACAAAATTGCATAAGTTTTCTTTATTTTTCATATCAACCATTGTCTCAATTAAATCTTCTTCCTCATGGGTCAACTCTTTTCTCCTCGTTTCCACTTTTCACACAAACCCACCACATGTGGACGTCCACCCAGCTCATGGTCTCCAATTCACCCACTACTACACTTGCACAAGTCTCTTAGAATATGGTTATTAGTTCCAATCGTAATTCCTTAAATACATCAATAATAAGAGCACATTGTCCCTATAAAAGACTGGCCTCGTTGTAGACAAGTCCATTATAATCCAATATAATGTACTTATCATTCAGTAGAGACTTGGAGCAAGTCTAACCGATCACCCGCCTTTCCGTAACCGGAAGCAGCAAGCACCAATCACAGGCGAGATCACAAACGGCCTCCATGAGCTGGCCACGTGCACGTTTCTTGTGCCTGGCATCACCAACATGCTGGTTCTGTCTGGTCAAATCTCCATCGCTGGTCAGGGACAGCTGTAAGTTCCTTCGTATATTTGACTCAACAGTTTGTATTTCTTGCATGTAGCTGCCATTCTGTCAAGTAGGGAGGAAGCATGTTGGAAATCATGTCACATGCCTTGGCCATTCGCAGGCCTCCAAGACATTGTCTCCTGTATTTGCTGCCCTCTGGTGCGCATTCCAATTGTTTTTGTGGCGCGGAAGCAGGCCCCGTGCTTCCTGTATTCTTGTATGTATTATAAGTGCGTACCTTCACACACTGACCATGCCCGAACAGTGTAGGCAAACCTAAGTATTCAACTACCGTATTTCTGACAAAAAACAATTCCTTTATTATGAGTATTCATTCATTATGCTCCATTTATTGACCAAGTTCTTTGTCTTTATTCCATTGCTGCTGTACAGGCCTGCTGACCCGATGTCACACAACCACGGCCCTCTCCCCCCTGGCTCCCACTCCCAAGGAAACAGTTCATTGTCTCATCTTTTTTATCTTTAAAATCTCTTCTTTTTTCTAAACACGTAACCTTAAAGTTAATAACGTTGTCCGCACTAGTCATTCATGTTACCAGTTGATTGTAACCCTGTTGACAGTACTGTAATTTTTCTAGTATCCTGAACGAGGAAAAATCCCATATTAACACCTTATTTATAAATTTCAATTAAATTCAATTTGTAGTTTGATATCAGGGCATTAACATTTGTATATTAATTATGGTTTATCTTTCTTCCTTTGGCTGTCAATTAGTTGTGTTCATTGTGTTGGACATTGTTGCAGACCCAGACCAACATGGCTTTGCGGCCACTGACATCACCTCTCCACACAGAGAGACATGACATGACCGCTCCTCCTGACACATCCTTCTGACATCACCTCTCCACACATCCTTCTGACACAGCCTCCTGACACATCCTTCTAACACAGCCTTCTGACACAGCCTTCTGACACAGCCTTCTGTCACATCCTTACAATCCTTACAGCAACTTGATATTTACTTCAAGATGGAAGATTGTGTAAGGTAGGTGATTTTATACCAATGGTAGCAGCTGTATTCGCCATATTAAGCACCCCGCCCTGGGAATACATTCGCATGGTAAGTTACTGTTTTGTTTGTTTGTTTGTTTATTTTACATAACTATATTACTATTAAGCAAACCAAGTTTGGTGTCACCAATGTTGGAACCAATTTTCTTCTCTATCGCTTTTCCTCTGACAACAAATTTAACTTGTGCCTGGTTTTTGTACCCCCATTGTCAATTTCCCATGGCCCCCGGGGCACTTATTATGGCGAATATGGCGCTAACATATTGCCTCTGAAATGAAAGTTGGTTTACATTTTGTTTGAACTCTTCATTTTCAGGAAAAATCTATATTTGGCAAAGCATTATACACTTGATTGGGAGCTCTTGGATATTTTTATTTCAGTACATAGTCTTATGAGACACTAGCCCTCTTGTACCTATCCAAGTATGTCAGAGTGGGTATGTGTATATGGAAAAAATGCCCGTATACCATGTATACCAATGTTAAAACTGCTATATCAAACCATTGTTGTTGGGGCTAGCATAGCCTTGCTTCAAGTCTGTACTGAATAAGTCCATGGATGTGTAGTAATTCTAACCTTTTAATAGGCAAGTCTATGGGAGCAGTACTCTAAGGATGCCGGTTGTTTATGGGGACACCTTGTTTTTATTATTATATAGTCTGGGAATTATGGTTTAAACTAATAATCATTGCTTTAGAGACTTGTGTAGGTCTAGTGTTATCAGTATATATACTGAACCGCAAAAGAAACATCACCATGGATCAGGGCTCGAAAAATCCACTCGTCCGCTCGTATTGACGAGTGGTAACTGATGTCGGGCAAGCTAAAATTATCAAATACTCGTCCTGACGGACGAGCAGATACTCACAGCAGTTTAATTTATATTTGTTTTGATGTGCCATATATTGACACGGAAATCACGGCCATTCAGCCGATCGATATTTATGTCGCGTATAGCATTAACAATTAGGCTGAGGTTTGTCTCTTGATGTATCTTTGCGCAGGCTTTGCGCTGAAACCAGTCTTTATTTATTGATGTAAGCGGCCGGTTGCTAACTACCGGTGATTCGGTCAAGACACACCCAATGATATAACTTTATAGGATTTTAATGCAAGGATCGTCAAAAATTGTATTTGAAACTATTTTCTTTATCAGGAATAATATATTCCAATATCTTGTTAAATTAGATGCAGCTTTTACTCAAATTATTAAAATAATAATAACCCTAAGCGAAGCAGCTGATCGCTATTGCCGGTATTATTTTTTACATGGAACCAGTCTGACCAGTCACCGTCAAGGCTCCCGTGCACGTGATCGCGAGAATTACGTGTTGACATAGAATCGTCCAACAAAAACAAATATGACTTTTAACGAGTCACAGTATGGCATTTATGATATATGTATCCATTCTCTGTCAACTAAAGTTCGTTTCAAGGCGTCAATAGCGGTAATCTGACCGTGGTTGCTGTTAATAACGGTGAGTTGTGCGATCTTCCGATCGCTTCACACACGATTTCGCCGAAATTAATGAAAAACAATATTAAAAGGAATTTTGAATAAAATGATAAAAATAAGTTACAAACATAAGTCCAGATATACAAAGAACACTTTTTATAGCCAGACAGTGTAAATTACATGACTAATTTGCGTACTTCAGTATGGATTTGTTGACATGGTATTTCTGGTGTTACGGGCTCACGGTAATGTCTTTCCATGGGGGAAAAAACATCAAAACTCATTATTTCGTGTATAATGCGCACCCCCTTCTACACAGCTGTGTTTTTTGGATAAAAAGGTGCGCACTATACTCAAGAAAATACGGTAAACCAAAATGGCGGATATGAGAATGATTTTCTTGTCGGAGGGTCGTGCCGACAAAAAGTTGACTGCACAGCGGAGAAACGAAAACTTAGTCCAAAACAATATGGTTGAGTGAATTTGAATGGGCAAAATTTGACGATGATGACAGCGAGTTGTATTGCACGGTCTGTCGAAAATACCCCAAACTATCTGATCCCAAATGTGGACTCGTAACTGGTTTACATCATAATTTCAGAAAAGAAACTTTGAAATTTCACGCTAAAAGTAGGAAGCATATTCAGTGCTGTGAACATGATAAAAAATTTTAACAAACCCCAGACTGCGCAGTTTGCCAAGTCAATGCAAAAAGTTGACGAAAAAAACAGTGAAGTTTATGAAAAGCTATTCACAACAGCCTACTATATTGCAATAGAAGGGGAACCATTTTCAAAATTTCCAAGTTTTTGTCAGTTGCAGTATAAGAATGGTGTAATACTTCGTACAAATTATTTGAATGATCATGCTTGCAAGGCATTCACCCAATCTATAGCAGATGTGTTGAAGATAGAAACTGCTCAGGATTTGGAAAACAGTAGGTTTGTCAGTATTTTAGCAGATGGTTCAATTTATTTCCTTTGTTTTGAGTGGTTACATGGTACATGATACATGATACATGATATTGTCTGTTCAGCATTGAGCAATAGGGCAAGTGAAAATTTGGCAGGACGAGTACAAAATTAAAAGTACTTGCCCTGCAGGACAAGTAGGGTTGAACAAATTTTTCGAGCCCTGAGATATATGAGAAACTGTATTTGTCCAAGCACTGTAAACATACTTTGAGACATATTAAAAAGATGAAACTTGGCTAAACTGATCATCATGGTTGAAATTAAAGTGTCAAATGTTCTTAACTGAAACACAACACTAGTCTCTGAGAAAACGGCATCACAAGTCAGTATCTCTTGTGTCCGCCATTTGCATTGATGACTGCCGTCCAACGTCGATACATGGAATGGATGAGGCGGTTGATGAATATTGATTATACTGATTTCTATGTGTGGTATATCTGATATTGGTTACGTCATTGATGGGTGTCTAGCTTGTACTTGATGCTGTGTAGTGTTGAAGCACTGGAATATGGGCTATATACTGATTTCTATGTGTGGTATATCTGATATTGTGTACAGTGTTGAAGCACTGGAATATGGGCTATATACTGATTTCTATGTGTGGTATATCTGATATTGTGAACATTGTTGAATCACCCGAATATGGGCTATATACTGATTTCTATGTGTGGTATATCTGATATTGTGTACAGTGTTGAAGCACTGGAATATGGGCTATATACTGATTTCTATGTGTGGTATATCTGATATTGTGAACATTGTTGAATCACCCGAATATGGGCTATATACTGATTTCTATGTGTGGTATATCTGATGTTGGTTATGTCATTGATGGGTGTCTAGCGTGTACTTGATGCTGTGTAGTGTTGAAGCACTGGAATATGGGCTATATACTGATTTCTATGTGTGGTATATCTGATATTGGTTATGGCATTGATGGGTATCTAGCTTTTCCTTGATGCTATGTAGTGTTGAAGCACTGGAATATGGGCTATATACTGATTTCTATGTGTGGTATATCTGATATCCCTATACTGTAAACAATTGTGTTGTTCTATCGCCCGGTCCAGAACCGTCCTCTCAGCGTTGAGTCGTTCATAGTCCGCGCCTTGATAGTGTGTCCATCAAATAACGGCGTGACAATCCCAACTCACTCATTCACTAATGAAATAGTTATAGCTTTTAAAAAGATTTATTGTGGACACATTTCTATATTTAACTCATGAGAGACAAAAATGATGGACGATACAATTCCCTGTTTTGACTTGTACCAGATGTCCTTGTGTTTTTCGGTGAATCATTGACTTGCCTTTGCATGTATTTGTGATGGGTGCCACCAGTGAATGTTGTTTGAATGGACGGAAGAAAGGTGGTCATCGAGGACGCCATGTTGTTGGATGCTAGAGCGGCGTCAGGGTCGGGATGCATTAACTTATCAAAAGATAACTTCACAGCGAGCTGAAACAGAAGGGGTAGACACACTGTCCATGTTCAGACAAATTGCAGTCATTAGAACAGCATTAGCCACTAATTCTGCTATCAAGATTTTATTCTTTGTCAGTTATCAACACCGTTAAGGTTCTTTTTTTGTATTTAGTTTCCGATTAATTGTGTCAATCTTATAATGGACCCATTTGGATTCTCGAATTGCCTTATCTAGCCCAACGAGATAGTCTCCGTCGAGGCAAAAAGTTTCAATTCAGAGGAAATTACTCTTGAAAGCAAAAAAATTAGTACACAAAAATGTAAAAGTGATTTTTGAAATGTGTCTATTTTTGTGCCTTCCAGCGTAATAGATATGTTCAAGGCTTTCCAAAGGAGGAGAAAGGTTTTTGCTAAAGCAGATATTCATTTGTATTGATACGCGTCCAACACATACATGTACATGTAGAGCGATTAGTTGTAGTACTCTGAGACTCGGGTGACGTAAGCCGGTTCAGAACAAAATCGATAAAGTGAACTCATGTGCCATGCATCTCAGGAACCCCGATATTCATCACATTTGACGATGAATGGCGTTTTGTCAGATCGCCAACTAATTGTCTTTGAAATATGCTCTAGTCCTCTAGAGCCAATTTAAGTTCCCTATATGACAAATAACAAGCGATCACCTCGGTAAGAGAGAGTTCTGCTCTTCGTAATGTTTAAATTACTTTCTGAGTTTACCGTGAATAATATTACAAAGGTTAAGACGGTAATACCACGTCACTTTCTGTTTGTGTCACTAACGTCAGTCAACGTTAAACCACGTCACTTTGTGTCGCTATCGCCAGTCAACGTTAAATACGTGGGCATATAAAGTATTAAAAGTTTACCATATCCCAACAGTTTTTGTCAAAGCAGATTTTATTGTCAGATGCAATTAGGGGTTTAAAGTGAGTTTTCCTTATTTAAACCTTGAAGATTCTTCAACATTCTAAACATCAATTACCACAACGTTCTTCGAAAGTTGATTATTCGAGAAATGCAACTGACAGTTTTAACTGTGTAAAATAATCAACAAAGGCACAGCAATGTTCTCGTTGGCACGTGTATTGAATTTG